GTAAATTGCCTGGGCACTTTATAATATGCCAAAACATTTGATAGCCAATTCAATTGCTGTTTACAAAATGCCGCGGCAAATTGAAGTATTTAGTTCTTTTTCTTACCACGCGAGGCGCTGCTAATCAAAACAAGAAAAATGGCGTCGAGTCGTGGTGTTGTGATACAGAAGACAGTGCAAATTTTACGTATTCAAAGGACTTTTCACAAAAAAAGACATTTATTATACTTAGTGAATTAAAAATATTTTACGATTCACAAATAGGAGCAGTGAAAAAGCTATGGAAAAAGGAAATAGTTTTTGAGGTTATCCGGCACGTAAAAAACGCTAAGGTGACAATGGAATCTGGTGCTCGGACTGGTGGAGGACTGCTGCGGAATATTATTGGTTTAAAAAAATATTGTGTTGTCTTCTAGACTTCTTCTAGGTATAATTAAAATGTAAGACTTAATTAAAGGACTGACTATCGAAACTTATTTTATGTCATAGTTTTATGTACCTACCTATAGGTACGTCAATAGTTTAAATTAGTTTAGTGTCGTTTTTATTACGAAAATATTTTAATTACTTTAGGAGTAGCTAGTATTTTAGGTTTGTCTTACCTGAATAGATACCTACCTGATTAATTAAGTCTGATTTGTCCAACATGTGTTTTATGATGGTCACCCTATTGCAACAATCATAGTCGAAACTTTATCAATTAATGAGTCGCCAATTTGCCTTCGGCATTTCATAGAACAGCGAGCGTTTGTAAACTGACGACGCCGTTTGTAAAATGCGGATTCATACAATTTGCCTGCGACATATCCACCAAGATGAAGATTGCACTATTTCAGTCAAACCGTACGAGTAAGTAGTAATATCCGCGTCAGTCCGTAAGGTAGTGCTTGAAGTATTAAGGTAAGCTAATAACAGGGTGTCTATGTACAGATAAAGGCACATCAGGCTAAACCCTCTAGCATCTTATGTACTTGTAATTAGATCGATATTGCAACAAAAACGTGAAGTCTAATGTGCTGAAATATTTTTAGAATGGGATTAATCCTTAACCTGTATAAGCACGGGCTAAAATCTTTCAAATTCAGGTTTTTACTTAAACTACTTGAGTTTGAAAATCAAGACCTTTCAAAGTTCTAACAACAATACACAAACAGTATACAATTTCATAACCGAGCCAAAGTTCTTACGGTAAAAGTTTGTTCTGAATTAGTAATACTCAAAGCACAGCTGGAGTTAGCTAGAAAACTACTGAGCAACTTTAAAAAAATAATGAAAAATATAGTTTGAAACCATTTTTGATGATGATGAAAAGGTAGGTTTTATTTATACTTAATAGCTGTATTTAGTTACTTGTTTTATGAAAAAAAAAAATTCGTAAAAGACAAATTCGTAGTAGAGCTAAAGAAGAAAATGTCTCCGAATAACTAGTGACATCTACAGAGATTTGTTGTGAGTAACGTGTCTCCAACATAGAGTTGTGGATTCAATGGGTCCCATTCGAGGTCCCGAAATGGTTCGGGTTCAGTGATTGGAACATAGAGCGACATCTACCTAACTCTAGCCAAAATAGCTGTCATAGGACTTTGGAGGCTAGTTATTCAGCTACCAGAAAGGATATTCGCTTTTTATAGCAAGCTCGAAGCGTAAATAGTGTCAGATGATTAGCTAAAGTAAACGTATTCGTTTTATTAACGTAGTAGGGTAGGTGTGTTGTTACCATGATAACCATCGACCTTTTATGTCGATAACAAGCCCTCGGTCATTGCTTAGATGGTTTGATAAATCCATTAGATCGTTTGGTAGAGCATATCCCTTCTAGCATTATCGATAAGAAGGTATATTATCTCGTTTGTTGGAAACCTTTTCGTGATCAATGTCTTAAACATAATGGTACTTACTCGTATATTGCCAACTTTTAAAATTCTTTTAATTAGTATTTTTATGGGTAGGTAAGAAAAGGTGGTAAGGACGTTACAGAGGAATATTAAAACAATATTTTTAAGTAAATTTTATTGAGTATTTTCTGGATAGAGATAATAATTAAATATTTAAAGCAAAATATTATGACTATTGTCTAAAAGTATTCAGATAAAAATATTTGATCTTACTACAGTGAAATAAATCTTCATGCAACTGTACAAACGAATTATAATCATCTTACTAATAAAATCTAACATTTGACGCAATACTTTTGGAAATTCTTTAGATTTTTTTTTGCGAGGAAACAATCGACACCGTGTATTAATAGTGAAGGTATAACATGTGAGAAATACAGAAATACGTTTGAAATAAAAAGCAACCACGAAGCCGAAGACATCGCTTCGTTCAAGTCCAAAATATAAAATAGATATTGTCGACGTCATTCGCATTTGTTGTTTACAGTAGTATAAAATGAATAAGTGCACATTAATTATGTATACACACAGTTAAATTAGCACCTAATTTGTAAAGCAGTACCTACTAAGATTTGCGTATCAGATATTTTCGTTTTACACAAAACATTGAACATTTATTTTTATATAACAAACCATTTATTCAACTACACATTGAACTGACAAATGCATTCTCTATCAAAGATTCGCTCTTCAAACATGTCCTCAAAACTAACGACTCATTTAACCACCTTTCATGAATTACAAGTATGGACATAGATCTTGCGTGCGACCATATAACGATGCTTCTACATTCTAATTACAGTAGATATTGTTTGATCAGCAGAAAACTATTAGGAGAATTAAATACTTACAGATACGTACATAAAATACTAATGGCAATCACATTCAATCTTTGCCTTAATATATCATTCTAAACACTACACCTAATGATTACCTTATTGACAACATGTTAACGAAATTTATCGATGATGATTTGTCATGAAGAAAAGTTTTTGTAATAAAAGTAATTAAATTTAGGCCCGTAAAATTAAAGATGTAAATTGATGTTTACCAATATTACCATGCTAATATTTGGATTTCACTTATGTATTTTTTCAGAAAATGGAATACACTGCTGTTAACCTTACCTAAAAGAACAAAATTATTAATTACTTCATTTACGCCATAAAATTAATATGAACCTACAATTTATACAACAATTTGAAGCAAATTGGTTTATTATTATTACCTTATTTTCTTGTATTTTATGATGTTGAACTAATTAGTTTGTGCTTACTAACTTTTAGAAAACCATAACTTTTTGTGAGTAACGGAACAATAATGACGCGTTATTTTCACTACTTAAAATATTTTAAATCTTATTTAGATCACTTTACATCTTATTTTTGCTAATTAAAGCTATCCCATCAACTTCTCAAAATTGTGCTTGATCGACATAAAAGCGCAATGGTGCAACATTAACGAGTTCAGACCAGAGCCACACTTCCATTGTAGGACAAGCAAATGATGTGACCCACAAACTACTTGTGCTAATCTTGCATTATACCTTCAAAAGGCAACATTAAACACATACGAATAAAGGTGACAATAAAGTAGACGTAACAACGTCATGAAATCGCAAAACAAAAACTAACTTGTACTATGATTCTTACATATTTTATTCACATTTTAAGCAATTACATTTTATTATACCTACCCTTAACATTCTTCCGATATGTTCCCAATTCTTTCAAAACTCTTTCATGGATAGTAATTGACAATCGCATATATATTTAATACTATATGTCTTAGTACAAATTATGTAAGTATAAAATTGTTATTAAATTCATAAGATACTTTTCACTTAAAGCATTATTAAGCTACAGATTAAGTGTTGTTGAAGAAACTATTATGCTATTGTCGACAATAGAGAAAGAAAGACACATTTTTGATCGAAGTATTATGAAGATGATGAAATTCTGCTACGAAATAATTAAGTCCCATTCAAAAAGAAAGTTTTATATGTAGAGCATAGAACAACTTTATAACACCTCTTGGGGCGTCAAATGAGGACCGTAATAATTCTTAAGATACTGGTTTATAGCCCACAGATGTAAGCAATAACCGTACTTTTTGTGGTTTTGTATTTAGTTTAACAAAATGAGAGTCAAATCTTTTCAATTTGAATAGGACTAATTTTAACAGATTTTATAAATCAGAATTAATATTTAGAAATAACAAACGTAAAAATAATAGTATGTAATATAAACCATCATTTATAAATGAACATTGTAATTTACTGTGAATTTTTCGAAGTGAACAAGAGATTATCACTAAAACACAATGTTGAAATTCGCACAAATAATTATAATGTTCATGGCAGTGGAATGTTCAGCGATTCTCTCCGGAAATAGTTTTGAGCCAACACATTCAATAACAATAAGTGGTGTTTAATTCTAAAGTGTTTTGTCATAACAATTTACTTGAATAAGAATATAAACGTACGTACGTAGGAAAGTCTATTTTTGTTCAGAATATTGCGTCCTATTCATAAGAAGGGATATTTACAAAATATACTATTTATCTGTTCGAAGTCATAAGAATTTTGAGTTCATAAGATTCTCAAGTGGTACGAATTTTATAGCATCCTAAATAGTAGTATATATACATAAATAGGTATATTGATAAAAATTTGTCTAACAGTATACGCTCGACTTTCATTATAATAATATATTATTTATTATATTATAAATCTCTAAATTCTCGCTAGGATAAAGATATGATTCATTTACTTTGCTATTTAAGCAGAGGCACACTTTGATATGTATGGTGATAAACCCATGTTGTGTGAAAGCATCGCTTTAACAATCAAAGCTGACATTTAGTTCCCTAACCATTACACATTACATTACACACAAATCTAATCATTGCATGTTGGATTACAGTATCAAATTTAGCAACGATTTAATTCTAACTTATCATAAAACACCAAACATATGAATCAACTAGGTACAGGAACATTTTAAACTAATCAACTCAATACATTCAACGTGAACATTTAGAATAAAATCTTACAATGTATAATTATACATATATTCAGCGTTAAAATTATCATTATTATACTTTAACAATTACCCGAGGGCTCCTATTAAAAATCACAAATAAAACTCTACCACGACAAACAATCAATAAAAACTTTTTCTTATTTTAATACATTTCATCCATCCCTATTTACGACAAGCTTTTCACAGGTCATTTTAAATTTCGCATCTTTCTAGTACAAAGTTTTACTTAATTTATACCAATAACGTTTTATCAAGCATTTTATGTAGAAAATAAATGAAGGGGTACCTTGTACATTCAAAACTACAAAATTATGATATTCCAAGGAATATTGTTTTACTTTTTGATGGTCTAATAAATTATCTTATTAAACAACAAATTAATGTAAATATTTTAATTGAAATCAGATATCCGAATCCTCAAATTTCACCAATGCACAGTCAATAATTTTTAAATTCCAAATGTCTTTTTGGATGTATTTAATTTATCCGATTCAAGAAATCAGTTAAAATATTTTCACATTGTTACTAATTATTCAACTTTAAAATTAAAAGCCTCATACAAAATATCATCACATAACACACATTTTTCTACTTAGGTCTAAATATTTCACTGAATGTTTTTCAAGCATATGCTTGCTCACAAGAATAAACTGTGATCAAGTTTACACTGCGACTGTGGTGGCGAGAGCAGTCAGCATCAGGATTGGCAGGGTGGTGCCAGCGACGCTGCTGTATGGCCCTGTGACGGCTCGGTCACACGGCACATGCTCTAATTCTGTAAAATAAATAATAATAACACATTTTAATATCAATTTACTTAGTAACTCACTCACACTCAACAAAGAAAGAGTGATTTCTGGATTAGGTAGGTAGGTACACTGAAATGAAATTCCTGAAATGTTAGGCCAATGATAAACGAGTTTTCTTTAATATTCAATTAGGTTAAGACAAGAACATGACCTTGATTATTAATTAATTAATGACCTACATCATCATCAGATCATTTATTTTCTAGTGCGACCTTTTGTTTAAAAGAGACGAGAGGGTGGATTTTTCCTACACACATTCTTTAACGTGTCGTGTTAATCATTAATCATCTAATCACGGAAAATATTAGAAATTTTAGCTCAAAATAGAATAAAACATTTTGAATTGGACACAAAAAAAAAATCTTTGCACACTAACCATTCAGCTTGTTCAAGAAGTCGTTCCAGAAGGCGCACGCCGAAGCCCTGGGTCCGCGAGGGCCGGCAGGTCCACTCGTGCCATCAGCAGTGTACGTGTAGTAGTGTGGCGAAGCTCTCGAGTACAGCGGCCACTTCTCGTCAGGTTTGTGAGGTTTTCTGAAAAAGAAAAGTTAAAAAGTTTGTTACTATCACGTTTTACTTTCTATACATACTCGTAATATTTACTTCGTTAGGTAAGTGTGTAACTTGAAAACTCAGCTCTAAATAAAATTCATGAAAACATGCAGAAATTACGTAATTTACGCGAGTACATTGACTGCTTTGAAATAGATTACTAGATTACCAAATTCCCGTAAAAAACAAATAAATTACTTTTCAATAGACGTCCCGAGTAATAACCAACACATAATCAACTGATACTTAATGGTGCAAGTAATGCGGAAAATTGTCACCAAGAAGTGTAAACGCCAACTCGGTTACTTTCTCCTTCCCCGACCGGTGCGTCACCCATACTTCGATGTGCGGGCTAGCACTTCGACTTGGACAATTTTCCGCATAGTGTACTTACGCCATAACATCCAGATGACAAACATATCCCTGTTCTCCCCATTTTGGAAAAAAAAGTATACGCAAAAGAAGATTCTTACCCAGTTAAAGCAAATCTAGTGAAAGACTGCATGATGTGAGCTGCCAAGTCACGCTCCCTGGTGTGGTATTGCAGAGACATGTTCAACGGGTGCCCGAACACATACTCCATCTCGTCGCCGTGCATGACCCCCATCCATTCGCCCCAGAGACTCGTGCTGGTACGCTGTAAGAGAGAAATTAAATTGGTTGTTTTAGAACTTTAATAAAAAACTCATAAAACTCATTTATTTTTGCAAATAGGCTTTTAAAAAGCACTTTTACACATCCCAATATTAACCCTACCACTGCTTCGGGACAATAAAACAACATTTTAATGGTTTTAGTTTTAGTTTAAGTCGAGATAGGTAAATAAATATCCATCGAAAAATAGCTGTTTTGTTTGAAATACAATTTTATCAGAGTAAAACCGGCATAGCATTTTTCCAGGAGAAAAGTGGGAAATGGTATTTAGGTTTTACATGGATAAAGGAATTGAAATGTGAATCCCGAGCAAACACGCTTTTCCTACAACTACGAAAAATAAACCAAGTTAATTTACTTAATGCCCACCACGTTTTGTTTTGTTATTATTAACTTAGTTGGAGAAGTTCTTTCACAACTAATAACGCTGAGTAACGCCGACGCTAAGTCTCAATTCGTTATGATTGTTACGCCTACGATCAAAACTTTGATGGATGTTTTCAAAAGCAGGAGCTGACCTTTGGGCTATTTCAATCATTTATTATTCTGACACATTTTCTGTAAAACAATGTGCTGAACAAACTGTTTTCTTCTCAAAGTAAGATCAAAGTTTTTTGTTAACCTACGCATTATGTCCATTTGTAGATGAATTACCAATACGAAAATTGATCAAATTACCCAGATATATTACAAAGTATCAGTTTTCCAAGAAAAAAAAGGTCATTTATTTTTGCGGTTTCAAGATGAGCCTAGCAAAACAATTATTTGATATTATTCGCTTCGCTTCGTCTAAATTAGAACTTACGGCTCAGTAGATGCTAATTGTATGCGTGTTCATTAACACGACAGCAATAATTCTGTAAAATCATGTCCCCTCGGGGAGTATAATGACAACTTCATCGCTGCAGCGTACATCAAGTGTCAGAGAGTCAAATCCCCGAGGGTTCAAAAACCTCCCTTAACATAACACTCAATGTAAAACCTTGGCAACGGTTACCACCGTATTTGGTAAGGTTTTAAGTGAGCCATTGAATTAAAAGCGGCTGTTAGGTACGCGGCGTCCGCTTAATAATGCAAGCGGCCGGCTACGTATGCGTTGTCATGCATGCTATGACTACGTATGTAACACACTTGTGGAAAGGTCAGCCCACATTTATGTAACATCTTGTAATACCCGCGAGATTTTAAAATTTATTTTCTGTGGCCTCCCTAAAGCAGAATTGGGGTCGTCTTTCAGAGCGGCGTTTAATTAATAACGCGTTACAATTTGCGCGGTAACAAGATTGTGTTCAGATAATTCATTATTGATTTACACGTTTTGTTAAGTTCTTATCATGAAACAAAGGAAGTAAATTATCATGGCTCCCTTAAATTCAAAATATGACCGACTCTACAACTAGGCTAGGTAGTAGGTATGTCTAAAAATATTTAGATTGAACAATCAGAATGAATAATTAAGTTCAGTCGGTCAATATCAAATCTTCTGTGAAGAGAGCAAGCTAAATAATTTACATACCTATAAATGCTCCTAAAAACTGTCCCAATCAATACCGGTCGCTGGAAATAGGCGGTAAAATTCTAGGTTAAGTGGCGCGACTGTCCATTTGCATCCGGAAAAAGTTTGAAAATCCTAAATGTTATTTCGTATTTTCCAAGCGATAGAGAATAGATTTAACAACTAATTGAAATACGCTAATACGAGTAACTAACAGGTTAACAAGTAACATCAGGGGCAAAATATACATAGTTTTATAATTATGGTAATTTTGTGGTACAAGTTAGTCACACACAGGATTAGAAAATGTTGAGCTCGTGAACCTCACTACTGAGACGGCTGAAAATAAGTTTTTGTATCTTACTAGCTTTCTGCCCGCGGCTTCGCCCGCGTGGAATTTTGTCTGTCAAAGAAAAACTTTATCGCGCGCGTCCCTGTTTCAAAAACCGGAATAAAAACTATCCTATGTCCTTTCCCGGGACTCAAACTATCTCTATGCCAAATTTCATTAAAATCAGGTTAGTGGTTTAGGCGTGAAAGCAAGACAGACAGACAGAGTTACTTTCGCATTTTTAATATTAGTATAGATAGATACTAGCATAGATTACGAGTAAATGTCAGTATATGTTGCATAAAATAATTATACGACAGGTAGGTATGTAGAAATAACAAGAAAACTTGAAAACTTCACTGTATGTATGGCGATGTCTTATATCGAAATAGGTCACTTAAAGGTTTTTTATTTGTACTTACTACTTAGGTTTTATGAAACGTATAAAAATAACTCAAACTATAAAAGACCACTTACGTGTCATTAAGTATCCTAAATCCGTGTTGACGATAAATCACAGACAGACGTCTGTTACAGACAATTTATTCAGAAACTAGGTGACGTGATGACAGAATTTACGTAGGTTTAGTTATTTTGGGGAGTTTAATACTTAGGTAGGAATGTCAATTGTACTAAATCTTAATTTCTGGAATGAACATAAACTTAATAGGGTTTGGTCATTCCTGTATGCAAATAAAAGCCTCGCGGTAAAATACATTGATATGAAAATTACTCATAAAGATTTTGGTTTTTAAATTATGTAATTACCTAGTTACTTAGACAGTCTTTAGATTTGGATTTTGAGCCTGCACAGACACATCCTCTGATTTAAAAGTATGAAGTTGCGAATATAAAAATAAATCTAAAAAATCGAGATGTTCCATAGCGAAATAGTCCAGTGTCTCGAACAGAAATGGAGCGGCGACGGGTCACAACCCAAAATAGCGCGTTGTTAATCTGTGACCTTTGCCCCGGCCGGGCTGACCCGCGCCTAATTTATTAAAGATGCAATCATTCGCCGGCCTGCAGCGGTTCACTTTAATTGCTATAATCTTTTTTGTACCTACATTAAACACGACAATGATCGGCCCTCGTACTGTTGAGGGTTTACTTGAACGCCGTAATTACAGTCGTTTGTCCATTCGAAACCCCAAGCCTGTACCCGAATAATGGTAACGTTCGTTTCAACGGTTATTTAAGTGGGGGTTATGTGTAGTACGTGGAATTGCGTTGGCAAAACATTAATCAAATTATTTTTGATATCGGTACTGTTTTATTGGTCTGATTCCTGTGTCGGTGTTGTTTGATTAGGAAAAGTTTAAAAATTATTTTTAACACTAAACCAATATTATGTACCATCTTTAGTTATGTTTTTCAAATAAAAGTATTTTTATTTTGATGAAAGTCATTTGATACGAACAAAACTTTGCAAACAGAAACAATACATCTCTCATCCGCGCATCCTTTATACCCACCTTTCGCAACGTGAGAAAAGCTAGAGAATCGCGTGTCGTAAGTCAAAAATTCAACGTTCCTTTTATTATTCATTGCGTGATAAGAAAAATAGCCCCCTCCGTTGCTTGTTTTGGTGGCTCGTGACCCATAAAACGTCTCGGCATCGCGGCCCGTCTGTCAAATCGTTACGTCGTCGCTTACAAATCGCGACGCTCCTCTAACTTCCTGATTTATTGTCCACCATTTATCTCATTTTTACCATATTAAGGTCGTTTGTGACACTTTTTTCGCATTAGCGCGACTTACCGCTTCATTCCATTAAGCAGTCGAGATCAAACTTATAATTTATGGCCGTTGGTAACGCGAGCGCTCGAACCACGATTTCTTAGGAATTAAGGCTTTATCAGACTCTTACTGAAAATATTATTTTTCGTTCTTTACACGACTGGAGAGATAAGTGCTGTTTCAGTGTCTCTTGTGAATAATAAAAATTCAGATGAAGAACTTTGATGTGGAATAGAATACTTATTACACACATTACATTGTAGTCTGCCTAATATAAATAGCCAAATAAATAAATCTTTGGACATATCACAATTTTGCGCATGTCAAAACAAGCATTACATGCGAGGGACAATCCCAACTAATATTATAAATGCGAAAGTAACTCTGTCTGTCTGTCTGTCTGTCTGTCTGTCTGTCTGTCTGTTACGCTTTCCCGCTTAAACCTCGCAACCGATTTTGATGAAATTTGGCATAGAGATAGTTTGAGTCCCGGGAAAGAACATAGGATAGTTTTTATTCCGGTTTTTGAAACAGGGACGCGCGCGATAAAGTTTTTCTGTGACAGACAAAATTCCACGCGGGCGAAGCCGCGGGCGGAAAGCTGTATTTCATAAAAACCATTATTACATTAGGTGCAGAGAGGTAACTCAGTTAAATAAGTTTCACTCCCTGTTTGACGGTTTATAAAAAGCTTTACGTAAAAATTGAATTTCCTTTTGGCCTCGAATAAAATTGATGATTAAGGAAAGATTTTGTTTGTTTGATCAAATGGGATACTGGATTATCAGCTTTGTCCAGATTCCCGAAAGGTAATTTAGTAAAGATTTTTCTCTGTATTAGGTTTACAATAGCAGAGAATCGGGTAATTTGTAGAGATTTTTCGCTGAATAGGTTACATTTACAATAACAGATAATTGTATTTGCCAGCTCTTTTGGGCACTCGAATAGTGTAGCTATCTTATTCCATTAAAATCGTAACGTTTCTACGTTTTAAAGTTAAGGCTGCAGAGACCAATGTCGAGTTTAATGTTAATATAGACATTCCCAAGCTAGAGCACCCTCGTCATATTATGGAGAGAACAAAAGCGTTTTAAATTTTAATTAGACGGGAATTTACAAATTATGACACCATTGTGCTGGGGGCTTGACAACAATACATTAAATTTTCAAATAAAATTAAATAAGACAAGTAAGTTACATTTTTATGAAAATTATATTAATGCAAAGCTGATAACTCGAACTACTGGATGGATATGCCAAAATATGGCTTTCAGTTTCCAAGTCTTATAGAAAATTTCGGTGAGATTTTAAAAAGCACTTTTACACGTCTCTAAAATTAAATAATTTTGAACATACCACTTTTGGAATAATGCTGTGAAGAAAATTAAAAGTTTGCACGAACATTTAAAAGCTTGTGGTAATTTAATTATGACTAATCATTAAACAAAACTGCGAGTTCGTGTAATAGGTTAATGCCGTTAGTGGTTGATACTCTACAAAGAAAAAGCATACCCTACGTATAAAATCAGAGTCAATGAGAAAATATAAATGCAAAGTCTCACTGAGTCGTTTCTTTGCTTATCTTTTCAAATGATCATTTTATTTCCCAGAGGAAAAAAATCAATAGTAACAAAGCATCACTCGAGTTGGTACAATAAAGCAAGCTGGATTGAATCACAATGGAATACCCAGGAGTGAATGGGCCAATGCACAATGGTGGACGATGCAATTGTGACGTTAAAGAATCTACGTGGCCTATATGTATATTTATTGCACCAAAAATGGTTTATTTTAAACCAAGAAGTTTTATTTTACACAAACACACGATTATTTGTGGTTACAATACGCTGTGACGTCATGACAAACGATAAATTGATTTCTCATCCAACGTTCGTGACGTCTTCTTCTTATTGATCATCATCATCATCTCAGCCAGAGGACGTCCACTGCTGTACATAGGTCTCTCCCAATGCTTTCCATGTTGCCCGGTTGGTAGCAGCCTGCGTCCAGCGCCTTCCAGCTACTTTTACAAATATATTACATAATATCGCATTTTCGTAGAGTATTAAGATATAATTGACCTCTAGAATAGTTAAGTACCTACCTAGGACTAGGTATATAAACTTTGGATCCGTTAAAATTGCGCGTAATAAAAGCAAACAAAATTAAACAATGATGAAAGAGGATTGCTATCGTTTTCATCAAATTGAACTGTTTGACTCATCATAATATTACGGTAGAGTCTAATAATGTTTGGCGATTACACTCATTTTCCCTAGAGAGCGATCCGAGCCATAGAATTTGCAAATTAAATTTTACTCGGTAAACAAACGACGAGGTTTAAAGACAAATAACAATCGTTTTAACGTTTTGTCTTTTCCGTACTTATGAAATTCTAATATTCTATTTTACCTTTACTCAAACGAGTATAAATTATCTCTCATAGCTAGACGAGAACAATTACAGATATTTGATTGGCTTAACAAATGATCTATGCTTCCCTTTGTAATTAAATTTAAGCTTGATCGAGCTTCCATTGGAAAAGATACTGAAACGTTTCCGGTTGAGTTCCTGAGATTCGGATACCAATTACAGAAAAGCATTATTACGTAATTTTGTAGGTATGATTTTCTTTATAACCTTTGCTGTATGATGAGGACATAGGTTATAACAAAATCATGATATCACGGATGCCGGCTGCATGTCATTTTTACACACATTAGGCGGTTATCACACTGCGCCGCGCTCCACCGCGGAGCGCGTGATTTCATACAAAAAATCCCGCTGTCAGTGTGAAGTGCCGCGCGTGTTTTCTATACAAACCGAGGTACTTACATACAATGATTAAATCTGTCGTCCCGCGTACTGCGGCGGAGCGCGGCGCAGTGTGATAACCGCCTTACTCTTGTTATAATTGCCAAACATAATCGAAGCTAATCTAATCTAGCTTCAAGTAGATAGGTAGGTACTACGACGATTTATTTGAAATAATCTGTCAAATAAGAACAAAAGATAATTTCCAAATTCAAAAGTTTAAACTTTGAACGTTTGTAAGCGAGCTTTGTCAATATATTTCAGAAAAAAAGTGTTTTCGCGCACCTACACGAGTGGGAATTCCAATTTCTCTTTGACCCGCGTTTCTGGTTTGGGGCGAAAAGCGAATGTTGCTGGCAGCTGTCTGAAAGAGCCCTCGTGTGTGCTTCGTTAGCCAAATTAACGTGTTAGCCTGGGAACGGTTTTCAAGTACATCTTCGTCACAGGAATGCCTTTTTGGAGTGCACTAATACTTTGGTTTCCGAAATTAAATTAGGTCTGGAGCTTCGTACCATTGAAAGACATACTTTTTACCCGACTGTGCTAGAAGGAGGGTTATTATTAAAATTATAAGTATTAGCACAGAATAATAATAAGTACTAAGTACAGAAGTTTTACTTCGCGAAGGTATTTAAAAAAATGTATGCTCAATGTCATTAACAATATGGTGTAATTTAGCTTGTCTCAAGAGTCAAGCAAGTTTGTCAGAAGTTTTGTTGACAAACGTCAGTGATCGGTACTGCGCCGAAGCTATAGGGCTGACTTCGGTAAAATGATGTGACGTGAGGTGCCAATCTGCAGAAAATGGCGGAGGAAATACATGATTTAGCATGAATTATCATGAATAATATTAACTACTTATTTACCTCTCAGTGTCTTGAGGCAACTTAAAAAAGTACATTCTGTGTTTTTATTATTATTTAGGCAGTTAAATACTGCACAGTATTTAGTACACCATTTTCTTTATTTTTTTCCATCATACACAAGAATACGCGTGCGTGAGTCAATGTTCGCTCGTATGTGAGGCCTTGTCGAATAGTACTCTTGTAGGGGGCAATCGTGCGTGTTTTGTTTTCGATGTAAACTCACGGAGATGAACAGGCCTGGTATTAGTTTATTATTTTCAGGCGATTCTTTGGTCTGTCTCAAAATAATTCAAGTTATTTCATATTTGTGACTGGCAGTAATTTTGCAACTGGAGCACGATCTATTGTACGCTATTGTACTCGGTTAAGTGCCTAAATCTCTTGTGTGGTCTCCCTATGATCCTGGACGAGTAGGTAATCCGTCACAGAAACTCCATTTTATCCAAAAACAAAGCAACGACTAATCATATTTGTTAGTTATTTTATAATGATAAAATTATTTATAGTTATGTAAACAAAATTGTTAGCAGCTATGATATATAAATGAGGATTTTATATTCAGACAAAACATTCAAATAACCAAAAGCATTATTATTTTAACATGCCTCTATGAAAAAAGTCCGAATCCGAACTCACTCAGTCTCTCAGCGGGGCTTCTTTACCTAATCCGTTATTACATTTCCCGGACTTTAAGGCCAACTCTTTTACTCTTAAATTAATTTTCAAGTGCACTTTCAAGTAGTACGTACCTACCTACTTTATTGACTTTAGTAAAACTTCTTAAGGTTCGGACAAACCAACGCGTGCAGCGATGGCGATGGCGATGGCGACCACTGCGCGTGCAAAAGTTGTTTCACACTGCCGCGACCGCGATGGCCGTGGCGATGGCGATCACTGCGCGTGCAGGTTGTCACTGTCACCACAACTGTCACGCATATTGTCAATCACGCCTATTCGGCAAAATGGAAACTGAATTAAATTATTTGTTTGGAGCTTTTGATGCAATTGAGACAGTGGAAACACGTTTTCACTCAAGTTTATTCAGGCGGCCATATATTATAGATGGACTAATTATCTGCTATACTCTCGACTCTCTGAAGCACAACATTTATAAAAATTTTGCTGCAGTAATGCACTCGTTTGTAGTCCCTAGAGCCCTAACAATACCTTTTAATTAGATTTAAAGAAAGGTTTGATAGGAAGGAGGACTGCACTAAGGCTTTCTTGGCCTCAGTGGGGGAAATGAAACACAACGCGGACGGTTGATATCTGGTTTATTACTGTTATGCTATTGCTATATACAAGATTTACATAATGTACACAATTCAATGTGTCCAGTCCAATGTGCCGTCGGTGTAGAGTGCCTACGGTGCACGTTCGTTCAGGGTTCATGGGCCAGTCGGCTAGCATGTTGTAGGTCGCGGTCGATGCTGACGTGCTCGTACAGTATCCTTGTGGGCAAGTGAGATTATATCCAATTCATCTTTTTCCTTGAGGGAAAAAATTTGCCCCCATTACCTTTTACCATTGTCGTTCTTATCGTTAAATCGCACAAAACTACACAGAACTCAACACAACATCTATCAAAATCAATTTTCATTTTCATTTTTGGTGCAACAGTCATCTTGACATTTACTTTTTTTAAGGCAAAGGAAATTACATTATGCACCCAAACCACAGAGTACATAATAGTCCCAATATCTTTTTTGTCTTCAATAATAACCCAAAAATACAAAAACACATCAGTTTTGATCAACTAGGTGTTTCTAGTGGCACTAAATTAATGACTGAGACGTTTGATGACTTTAATTAGGTTTTTATTTATGGCATAGGTACTTAGAATTGCTCTAGGGCCTTTGAGAAAGCTGCAGACATGTACATTCTCAATTATTTTGTTCTGCAGTTATTATCCCAATTTTATTTATGAAGTTGAAGAAGCAGGTTCTCGAGAAAACTAAAATAATTTGTTTATTTCCAAAAAATAAATTCTGATATTGATACTTTATTCTAAAACCTTTTTATTATTCAAGTAGGTCAGACTAGTGGTATGTTATGAATAATTCATTTTTAATTGTGTAAAAACTTTTTAACAGATCCTAATTACTATTTATTACATCGATTTTAAAAAACAGAAACGTCACAGTGACAAAATATGTCGCGATGATCGCTGATCGCTGCGTGCAGACGCTGCATAGATCGCCGCGACCAATGACAGGACGCGTTGATGTGAACACATCGCTACAAATTCATACACGCTGTCTGGTCGCCATCGCCATCGTCATCGTGCACGCCGGCTGCACGCGTTGGTCTGGTCTAACCTTTAGGACTAAATTAAATAATATGAGTAATTGGAGCAGCAAAGGATTTAATGCCTTTCTCAGAGGGATACAGGCACAATAGAAAATTAATATGAAGCCAGTAATGTGCAGTGCTCTACATCAGATCTGTAGCAAAATAACTGCAATATTAGGCTTGCTGTAAAGACCACATTTATTACATTACTTACAACATCAGTAAGATAGTTGGTAAACCTTATTTGTTTGATATTCGCTAGATTTATCTATTTCTCATTTTCCCTTTGCAGAAATGCGAGATTCAATTTCCAGTTGCAACACCTTACACGAACAACACAAAGTAGCAGTGTGTTAAAATACTACTTTTAATTTACTTACATGGGTGAAATAGTAGTAGTAAACGTCGACCCCTGCGTCGGATAGTATCTCGGCGAAGTAGTTAGTCGGACACACGAAGAAGTAATCGCCCACTACGTCCGCTATCATCTTCTGGTTCAGATATCCATCAGTAATCTCCTCCCAGTCTGTGTACTGAAATTGTTTTAACGCATTAGTACAACGCTTTTTTTAATTAATGAGCGAGAAAGGTCTGGATTTGATCAAATTCACAATTCTGATTAATTTAAATATTGTCTGCAGCTGTCTAAGAAGTTTCAAATAAACTTAACTACTTTATCAAATTATTTTTTAGAATGAGAATTTAAATAAGCAACAACATCAAAATAGTTTCAATTCAAATCTTTCTGTATTATCTTGCACAAATTGTATAGCAATACAATGAAACAAAGTTGCTTTTATATTCATTTTAAACAGATTGCAAGCGCTGTGCAAAATATGGGGTTGATACAAAGCATCAGCAAACAGCGTCTACTTGAACTCGCAAGCAAAAACTTAATGAACGCGCTCGGCTCGCTTTTAGTCGTTTTAACTTGTGGCTGGGAACTGATGACCGAAAACCGATGTAAATTTCCAAATTGTTTGTGTTGTGGGACTTTACTAACGCTGAAACGTGTGGCTTGTGTTTTTAACATTTTGTAGCTCTTTTTGATGGATTTGAATTATGTAAACTGTAGGTTTTTATTAAACTTGGCAAATTAGCATTTATTTATTTTTATTTATTTATTTATTTATTTATTTATATTAGGAAGACCAGGGTTTACATAATTGATTATTTTACAGTTAATAACTCTTGATAACCACTTATAGGTCCCCACAGATAGAATTGTGGTGAATATTTAAAGAAATTATAAAAACAGATAAAATTTATACGATACACGATACACCTAATGTTGTAATAAAGAGATAGTAATTTTACCATTTTAGAGTTCCCGTTACCTCATATTTATAATAAACAACATGATAAAAAAAAAACTTACATGATAGGCTTGAAAAAAACGCTCGCTCAGCAGCCGCCTAAGCGCTGGTATGCTAGTATAGAATAAATCAATATCTAGTTCCTTACTCAGTCTGTTAAATCTGTCGCCAGCACGCCATATAAAGCTATTCTGTCTATAGTTAGTGGTCGCCTTCGGAAGAAAAATAAGTGGATTAAATCTCATGGGCCTTAGAGGCGCCTATTTAATTTTGAACTTCCATTGCCAGTAGGGCAATTTAATCCATCTTGAATTATCATATTAGAATACTGAGATTAGCTTCCTTAGCTATCTCGCATATGAATTTTCTTATCCCTAACATGAGAAAATTTCAATTACTTACTTCCAATTTTGTTGCAACAAAAGATACTTTAATTATTTTTGATCTCTCTGACAAAACAAAATGTATTTTATGTCGAATATATCATAGCACGCATTACACAATTTGTATTTGTTGATTGAGTACACAAATGCTTTCCAAATAATATGGTCCCACAAAATTGTCGCTCGTAAACAATACAAAACGTTCAAAATTGAACAAATGACAACCATTTACCGTAGCTGGCGGTAATTTAAGATGGGATATCCTCTTTAACGTTTCTTGGGAACTCATTTTAAACTAGTTAGAAGTAGTTGGGCTGCTTGCATGTGATGCAGGCTTAAAAGGTTACTCACGCTAAGTAACTTAATACCTGGGTTCATTGGTTTTAAAGAGAATTATTCTCTTACTACGAGAGGATTTTGATACTAATACCTACAAATGTTAAGAATTCATAGGTACAGTAAGTAGCTCTTTAGTAACGCGCCGACTTCTTATATCATGTGGATTGAAACAACTGACTGATGACAGACCAATTAGATCGAATCTTAAGTAACATTACCTCCGAAGCACGAAATCTTATTTCTTCGAGATAGAGTCTCACTTTAACTGGACTCCGAGAGAGCCATCTTAATAAAACACACTTTATTAAACTGTGATTTTAATGTATTTTTTGTAATCTAATGCAAATCATTTTTTTTTGTGGTTTAATATTGTTGTGATTACATTATCTCAAAAATCTTTCACATATTATATTACGTAGAGTCCACCATTATTTCATCTGGCCATCCTTTCAAGATAGCATTACAAAGAGTGTTATTGTTATCGTATTACTTTGTCAAATCTCGACTGTAGCCTTTTTCTTTAATTCAACATTTCAGCCTTTCCGATTTGGTAATGGTTCATATCGGATTCATAAAAGCTCGTGAAACGTTATGAATTCTTGATGTCCTTTCTACTCTGCAGATAACATAATATTTTTCTACGGCTAAGCAGGTTGCGTCTAAGGTCATTATATTTTAAACTTCTGATATGGATTTACTGTAGTGCTTTAGGTAACTCGTATATAGGTACTTTTATAACTAAACAAACAAATAATTCTATCAAAATATGTTTTGAATTTTCGCATGTTTATTTTTTGGACTTTTCTTGAGTCTTGCAATTTATAGAAAATCTCACACAGATAAATAAGATACAAAATATACTTACTTGAAAAACAATAGCTTCCCTCTTAATCTTGGAAAAATCTTTGAAGATAGTATCGACGATCTCTAAAAACTTTTCTCGTTGAAGAAAACTAGGTCCATCCTTCTCAAAGTAATCTAGGAAATCGTACAGCAGAAAGTAGGTTCCTGAAAAGGAAACATTCATTTCATTATAACTTCAGTTAGTAAAGTGTTCAGTCAAAATAATTAGCAATATGAAATAATAATATTTTCGTTGGTAAATAACTTGAGGCAACAATATTGTTTGCTTGTTCGTGTTTTTCCAAACTCCTCGTAATTTTTAGGCTGTATTTTTTATGTTTTACATTTCCACGGCTTCTTGTGAAACTTTTCCGCGGTTTTTGATGATTTGGTTTGCGTAAGGACCCTTTGAAGATTTCATTTGATTTGTTTACTCAAGAGTTATACTGCTGTTAAAATTAATTTCGCATTTTTGATGTCAATATAATATTTCCCGAAAACATTGCATGTAAATTAAACAAGTCGTATTTGTTAAAAGTTAAGAGCAATTCAAGTCGTTACTTTAGCTTTTGAAAAAACTTGCGCTGAAAAAGTCCCATTCCGGACTTCACTATTTTGTGATTATTTAGGTAAAGTTTACGTCTATATGGTGTAACCTTAAAAAGGGTCAGAAAGGTCAATTAGTAGTTAAGAATAATCACATTATTATAATGTCCAAAAAATTAGATGCTAATCAAACAGGTCGGCGAGTAAAACCTAGTAATTGTCGTAGTTATTTTCTAGACGGTTGGCGGCACGAGGTCAGACTACACGTGGTCTGTTTAACCGAAAAGTCGTTTTAAATAAATAAATGGATTGTTTCAACAGTCCAAAGTGGACTAAATTATTGATGATAATTACCCATTTGGCCCCAAGCTGGTAAGTGGAATTATGTACTAGATGTTTAGGTAGTAAAACATATCTAACGAATGCCAGGTGTCAATATTTCATAAAATGTTATATTTTTTTACCGTTAATAAAACTTAATAACAAATCACTAAAGAGGTACTACTTACCTACTTCATTGTTTTGTCAACCTAAACTTGATATCAATTTATAAAAAATCATTAATAAGCTTAACATTGTTAGGAAAAGAAGAGAAAAAACTACACATATTCTTGCTAGAAAATAAACTAACTACTACATTAAAGCCTAGAACTATCTGCCAACTCGTGTAGATCTCTTGCAGTACAGAGTCAGACTTAAAAATTATGTAGGGTGAGTTAAAAGTGCATAAAAATAACTTTTTTTTACAATTTACAACAGAAATTAAGATATACCAAGATTCCACGATTCATGAAAAGTACTTTTATTATGAAAATTATGTTAATTTATAAATCACATCATACCTTCCTAATCTAATTAAATGTTATCGTTTTACAATAGCCAGATAGATCTCCTATGTCACGTATGTATCAAGTAGTTTATAATCGATAATATTACTTGTATTGTATGTAACTAAATGCTGTGACAACATAATTGTTGCGCTGTTAATTACACTATTACAATATTAACATGACATACAATTAATAATGATGGCTTTAACGTAATTGAATTTGATTGCTAGATTGCCGCTAAGTGTTTCAGTAATTAATTAATTAGCGAGAATATCTTGGTTGAAAAAATTTAAAGAATACATTGGTGTTTTGCCTTAAAAAAACTATCATTATCATCAGAGATCAGGGACTATGTTTAATCACTCGTAATTATTGATTCACTGACTTTTATGAAACTGAACTATAGCTAAAAAGTCATCCTAATTTAAGCACCTGCAGTTTTTTTTACAATAAAAAAAATACTATTTATTTTTTCATGAAAAATTATAAAGCTGTCCTTAGTGCGGCCCAGGCAAAGTGCGGAACCATTCGCAAGCTCGTGTAGCGAGGCCAAGGTCAAGTAGGCTGTGAGACGAGACGTACAAATCGTTCGGTGACATCGTATAATTCACTGTTTATCCTAACAAACCCTGTTTTCAATGTCTACGGGATTTATGATAACCAATTCTCGAGAGCTTTTGATTTATACGATTTAAGAGCTACTTATTTTTTCTGTGCTTTCATAAGTAAGATTTCTCGTGAAAGTAATATTATTTTGTTTGTTGGGAAAATGGGACGATAATGAACATCTCATAGTTGATACAAATGAACAATTTATATTTTTGAATCACTGAATTCGATCAATAAAATGATTTGGATTCAAAATCGCGATCGATTTGTTAAAGTTCCCAAGTTACGATTATGTGTTTTTTTGAAAAGACATCTCTTGATATCCAAAATAATGTAAGGATTATTTTGTTTAAAACATCGCAATAGGTAGGTACTGTTATAATAAAGTCTTAACGCAACAAAATGCAAAGTTAATTTGTAATTTAAAAGCTTTTTGCTGTTTTTGCTGTACATGGTAATAAATGCATTAGTTAAGTTTTAAACTTATTTTATGCACGACTTGAAAATTCTTGCTATGAAAATGTTTCGATGGTAAATACAAACTTATACTTACTCATATTGTAAGACGCATTAATAAATTAATATTTCTTATGTAATAAGTTTGCTCGTTTGGTCGTCAATTGTGACAAAATCAACCTTACAATCAATAAATATAAAATGGTCGCACTCTTGACATAACTACGAGTGTTTCTAATTGTAAAATGACCTACATACGCTTCTCGGTGACAATCCGAATAAATAAAACCCCAATAAAGTGAAAAAGTTAAGAACACTCGTCTAAATTCATTTTTACGAATCTAAACAAAAAAATACCAGGTAGCCAACGAATGCGAGGAAAATTGTTCGTCGGAAACGGGAAACGGGAAAATCTTTTCGTGTTGAGGATCCTTATAAGACAGGTACATCTCATCGCTACCGTAAAAAGGGAATAAAGTGAAACCCCGGGACGCGGAATGTAACAAGGTGTCTCTCTGCAACTTAGTATATCATTTCAACAGCATGACATAACGTAATGTGTAAGTAAACATTTAAGCTTGTTTTCAAGGAAATTAACACGTTTGTGCGTACTTTTCGCTTGAATTTTATGTATGTGTCTATGAGTGATATAAAAAAAAACTTTTTTGTTTTACAAACGTAATAGGTAGATACGTAGATAATATTTTGTTTTAACACTTTTTTTTAATATCCTTGGACATTGTACACTGTCCCATTAATTTAAATTAAAGGTGTTTTTTACATTTAGGAATATACTTGTTCTTCTTTTATCGTGTGGTTTCTTATAACTTAGGTGTCAACCTTAGTGACGAACCTAATGAGCCATAGACGTTTGACATGACTCAATGAGGGTTTGCGCGATTGAAAAATCCGCCAGATGGCAATACGTAGACGCGACGTCCAAATGCTGCGTGATTGGTGGATTTTGACATATCTATCAATGTCATATCAAAAATGTATATTTTATAGTCTAAAGACCAATCTCTCTTAACACTGGTTTGAACAAGGTGATTTTATACATAGATTAGCTTCATGGCTAAATTTCGAGACTGAAGCATAAATATGCCTTTCATCACGTAATTATACCTGTCATCAGTGTACCTACCATGAGTTTACGTTAGGTGTGCTCGCTAGCGAGAACGTCAAAAATCTCTATGAAGATTTTGTTTCTTGAAAGTAGCCACTAGGGGCGCTGCACAATATGTCATACAATTAATGTCATTTTTTTACGCAGTCGCTAGCGAGCACACCTAACGTAAACTCATGGTAAGCGCACAGATATCCTCAAACTATGTTATCGTTCAATTTCAATATCGCTCACAAAATATTTGCTTTAAACTACTTTCGCATGAATAATTTAAAGTTTGAACTCCGAGCCATTACCGCAGCTTTGAAAACTGTATCTAGGTATCTCCTAGCATAAGATAAAAATGTTCAGTAAAATTTTGCTTCGACAAAGATTTATGCTTTGATAGCAGACGTTTTAATACAATAGAGTCAGACTAGAAGAAAGAACCGGTGAAAGATGTTAGATTTTTCAATACGCATATTGAAGAAGACACGAATTGATTGGTTCCCCATTAGGATAGTTGGAGAATACTATTATTTAGTTAGACTTTAACTATTTGTGGTCATTTTGACTAATCTAGTTTTCCAAACCAAATGTGGAAGCTCTCGTGAAGTTGTAGATTGTCTTCTGTGTGTACCCTAAGTCCTAAGCGTGTCTGTAGATAGTGGAAGGGTTTACTACGTTTGGACTGATCCTACTACCCTCATATGTGTTATGCGCCGGGTGGGGGGATGCGTGGCAACAGCCGGGACTCCGGGGGGCGTGCCGGGAGCACCTAGCTACGTGGGCGAGTCTGTAGTACATGGTAGTACGAGTAAGGCTACCCACTGATTTGATTATACGTCGTAGTAGTTTCATGTTGATATTACTATTTATTCTGTACCGTTTCTAGGAATTTGAGCAACGTTGAGTTTGTATTTAAATTATATCAAGCGTTTGTTTACGTTTCGCAGAAACAACAGGTTGTTTGATGTCATGTTTCAAGATGATATTTGATTTCAATCTGGGCGAACTGGTGATTTATTTATCTAGAGTTTGAAAACAGCTAGCAATACTAATGGGTAAATTATATGTTCAGGGTATAAACGTGCAATGATAGTTTATGAGTAATAAATGTGAGGTTGCCCTTATCCCCGCGGCGTGGTATTGTTGTGTCTCGAGTTTGCGCAGGCGCGACACTCGCCGCGCAGAGACGGCCAGACGCGGCCTCGAACTCTCACCGATATTGATAAACCCTAAGCCTTTATGCGTAGTGGGAATTACACGATACGGCACGGTCAACTTTCACTCCCCCTAGATTCAACAGCCAGATATGACGAAAGTTTTTCATCAATATAATATTGATGTACACGCGGCAAATATTTTCCGAAACTTTCAAAAGGTCCAAACGCGTTAGCTTTATCGCGTTACGTTGACAACGTCCATCAACGTAATTCAATTTGTGGTGGCATGTACGATATACTTTATAATAAGAAGTCGCATTAACTTGATCGACAAAAACTTACCTTCGTCTTGATTACTTCCAAGAAGCACTTCGGTATTATGGAAATTGCCTTCCTTCATCATCGTATCGGGGTCCTTCGGCAAAAACACGCCGTCGACAGTAGGCGCTGACGGGAATCCTAATATACCGGTGTACGAGTTCCATTGTTGTACAGAAATGGTCTTAGCGTCCACGCCGCGCATACAGTCCATAACCAGGCTAGGGTCAACGGCTAACAGAGAACTGTTACAGTTACAATCGTCCACTAAAACCTTGCCGATATCTTGAGCTCTCTCTCCTGTCATCCAACTCCAAGGAGCATTCAAAGTTCCGGACTGTAATATTCCTCTCTTGAACAGACCTTTCATTTCTGGTGAAAGCATGTGTAAACTTACGCTGCCCCCACCGGCTGACTCCCCAAACAACGTTATCAATTCTGGATCACCGCCAAAAGCGCGAGCATTATCCTTAATCCAACGAATGGCCAACTGTTGATCCCACAGACCCATGTTCCCAGGAGCTTCTTCGCTTCCCGATGAGAAAAACTTATTTAGATACAAAAACCCGAATGCACCAACCCTATACTGCATGGAAGCAACTATTACATCACTGGAAGAAGCCATAATGTCCGCTTTATATAGGTCAAGTGTCGCTGTGCCGCTCATATAACCTCCGCCGTATATCCACACAAGTATTGGCACTTTAGGCTTCTCAGTCAATGGTTTGTCCTGGTGGTGACGGACTCGCAAATGTTGCGGTACCCATATATTTAGATAAAGGCAATCTTCTGATATGTTTGTGTTAGGATTCCACATTTCTTCACCCTCAAAGCCAGGGAAGTACTCATACCTTTCCTGATAACAGCTGTTAGGCATACTGGTGGCTTCAAGGACGCCATGCCACGGATCTATTGGTACGGGCTTACGGAATCTGAGGGGACCTAGTGGAGGTTTGGCGAATGGTATTCCTGTGAATATGTGAACCTCACGTCCCATTACTGTTTTGGGGTAACCCTTGACGAGGCCGCTCTTTGTTTCAACGATAAGGGGGTCGCTGTGAATGTTCTTGGGGACAGGGCTCGTGGTGGGCGTGGTTTGCGTCGTGGACGTCGTGGTGTCATGGTGGTTGGCCCACGAGCGGCCGCAGGCACCAGACACAAAGAAGCACAGCAAAAGTTTTGTGAACACAATTTTTCTGTTGCAGATCATTTCGATTTTTTTCACGTACGTCACTAACGAGATATAACTGACTGTAATCGGAAGTAGTCCGCCAGCTTAATGAGGTTCTTATTGAAGCACATTTCTAATTTCACAGTTAGAGTTGCTTTTTGTTACGTGTTTCAGTACCTGAAAAAGAAAGAAAACCATAAATTAGATCCATCCACATTCAATTACTAGTAAGTAAATCTAGTTACTTATATCTAATTATCGATCTGTCACTCAATTAGACAAAAAAGTTACGAGACGAGTAAGATGACCAATAATAGTAAAGTTTTCAGGTTGTATTAACGCCATATTTTCAAAAATATTAATAATTTGCCAATAAAAAGAAAAGAGAAAGTGCCTAATATTATTGAACATGGAATATTTATCTGTGTATTTTATCCTAAGTTTGACCATTTCAGGGCTCTTTTTGTACAGTTGAGAGTTGAGTAAATGTCACAACGTTTGTCAATATTAGACCAACTGTTGGGTGTTCGCGATATGAACTAGACAGGGATTGTTCCTGCTCTAAATTCGAAAGACAATAGAAACAACAACGCGTTGTTAATTAAAGTTGGAATGTTGGTAAAACAGATTCTAATAGAAATGGGTCTTTTGTTTGCTTTCTAAAGTGGATGAATGTGCTCTTTCTATTCATATAATAAAATACTGTAAAATATTCAACTGTAAGTAAAGATCTTATTGTACCAACGAAAATCTAAAATACAAACTAAAATATAAGTAGGTACACATTCTTATTTGATGTCAAGAAATCCTTACAACCTGGATCTACATGAACCCTTGTCTACTCGAAGGACATAGGACAGAAATATAATTGTAAAATAATTAAAGCTGTTTAACCGAAAATTCAACTGGTTTTAATTTAACGTTAATGTAATGTCGTGAAACAAGTATATTGCAACTGTGTAAAGTGGAATCCACGGCAGCTAACACTTTAACATTTAATCCTCGCTCACCCCAGCTATCCCATGGGACGCGAACATTGTTAAAACCGCCTGCGAATTTAATCGGAAGAATATTGGAGGAATGTGCCATGAAATTAAACTTTAGGTAAAAATAAATGATGGTCGCAATAATTTGGTTTTAGAGTTGGGGAGTCAGAAATGACTTTTCGAACTCTATGAATATGATATCACTGTAAGCTGGTAGCAATGACCTCCACGTGCACAGGATAGGTAGTTTTGTAAAAACTGGATGCTCATGATTTTGTAGCTGAAAAAGCTTTCAGCTTCTACAAAACTTCGGCCGTTAAGAAAAGTCTATTACTATAATATGTAGGTATTACATCGTTCAAGTTTTGACGAAGTTTTGTTTTCATGCCTTCAGTAAGTGCTGTAAATGATCACTATACCTACTCGTAGATTTTTACCCGACTGCGCCAGAAGGAGGGTTATTGTTTTAGCGATCAACGTTTAATTTTCGATGTAATGTAATTACTCGATCGATGACACTTGCTATTGATTTAATAATCAATGAGTAATGACAGAACCAAACCACGTTCTGTTGGAATCCATTACCAGGATTTAAACATAAACAGTTTTACCGGCTTGGAAATGGTAAATCAATCACAATCAAACGTCGCTGTCGTGAGAATGGATCGGTTGTGTAATGCTTTGAGCTAGTTCAATATTTGATGGATTAATAGAGATGTTGATGTTTCCAATACGAGCGAGTTGTTTTTGTTTGTAAGCCTACTAACTACCTATATTGTTAAAGGTATTCGCCCGCATGCTGATTATTCCATGGACAGATTGATTTCGAGAAACCAATTTACATAATTTAGGTATTTAAACAAAAGCCAGTCTTATTCTACAGATGACGATTATTTTAGCGCTCTATATCAATAATTGTGTTGCAAAGATGTGACAAATTAAGGCTGCGTTGCACCATCTTACTTTAACTTTAACAAACGTCAAAAGTCTGTCAAACTCCATACAAAAATCACTGCTCATAATTACGGTTAGTTATACGGTTAAAGTAAGCCTGGATTTAAAATTACTCTCAAAACCAGTATTTGTTACTAAACGACTATAGCCGATTCGCATTCCAAAAGAGTGCCCTCAATTCTTTCCGATACAATATGATTTTAACGCGAATACAAAAGCTTGAAATGTTTAAAGTTTACATAAAAATACGCTGTTCTCTGTGGTTTCACAAATGCAACGTGTATATGACCGGGTTTTCAGCGAGCACAGAGGGCTATTGTGAATTTGGTATTTTTATTTTATATCTATTCCCTCCTAAATATACAACATGCGCTTTTCTGCAATACCTGTGGTGCCAAAAGTATGGTCTCGAGATTTGAGTATAAGTTGATATAAGGAAGTTTTGTGAAATACTTAGGTTTCGAATGCTAATGCTAAGGCTAATGTACCTAATTTAACGCAGGCGAAGCAGCGTTTAGAAACAAATTTAGAAATAAAATCGAACAAATGTAACAAAATATTTGTGTTTCCAGGAAAATAGTCACGGTTTTCAACAAAAGAAAACCACTCGAATTCGGCGTTTAAGTTCTTGCCAACCTATCCTTTACGCGCCCGTTTATTCACAATAGATATTGGCCCCACATTCAACAGATTGTCGGTCGAAAGTTATCATCAATTCACGTGGCAGAGGTCGCGATTTCCACCAGCTCGGGTTGTGATCATTATTTCATCGGGCATCGGGATGGGTCCGCCGGGACACATAACGAACGGTTTCAGTTTTCACAGTTACGCCCGCTGAAAAAGGAATGTGTTTTTTCCTTTGAATTTAAAAGGGCTTGTTATGTGCACTGAGGAGAAAACGTGCGTGCACGTCGGAAAAACAGCGCTAAAATACTTTAGCGCAAACGAGGCTTTTCAGTGGTAATCGAGTTTGATGTATATTTTATGTTTTGTTGTTATTATGTGAGGCGACATAAGCGAACTTTTGATTGGTATTTTGCATTTGAAATAATTAAAGTACGTACTTTTGTATAATCTTAAAAGTGACAATCCAAGAACAAAATTATTTTTTCTTTAATATGAGCTTTATTTACTTCTGCTATATTTTGTTTGAGACTAAAACACGATATCAACTATTTCATGGCCTTAGTTTGATAGAAAAATATTCCCTACCTGACAACCATTTACTTTAACTATTTAACTTGTAGTCTCACCAACTCTATATGAATACTAAGAACCAACTAAAACTCATCACATTTCGCCTACATTATTTGCAAGTGAGCCCCGACTCGACAGTAGAGCAGATTGATGTTCATAACCGTGAATTCGTAGGTTCTGATCCCAGAGGAGTTACAACAACTTTGTCGGGGTAAAACGAGGAAACTAGTTTAGTAGACGATGACCCGGTCAGGTGAAATGACTGTAATTTGATCGGAATGTTATGAAACTAATGTTTTTTTGATACGGCAACACTTATTTTAATAACGCAGCAGGTAAAATAGTAGCTCTTCAAACTTATGTTGCTGTTCATATATTAACCAATTTTATGATTATAAAAGGAGATCTAATGTATTACTGACTCTAATGATCCACCATGTTTTCAAACATGATTAAATGAGACTTAAAGTCATTAAAACGTAATCATAATTCCGTCACTTAGGTAACCATTAATAAATAATTAACAAAACAATAATGAGCCGTTTCGTATCGACCAAAGAAATAATGGGGAGGAATTTTATGAAGCGGCCGTGCTGGGGTGAAAAACTTAACGATGAAATGATAGCTGTGGACGATTTACACTAATTACCTTGTCACGTGATAAATCGCAATTTTATAACACTGGCTTACTTACTTGAATATTTTATGATTGATTAATCAAAATATAATATCTTTGTAGGTAAGTCTACGCATGAAAATACTGTCAAATAATTGGTAAGTATACTTTTAATAGATAAGCCAATCCTACTGTAGTTGCTTTGCTTTAGAAATACGTAGAGTTCCTCGTTATTGTGTCGTACCTACGAGTATATTTCTAATGTCATATGAAAAATTTAATGATCAATATTTTCGATGAAAGTTGATGAAGTTAATTGATAGAAAAAATGATTCATAACAAAAGAAAAGCTCAGTTTAAATGTTCATTTTTAGGGTTCCGTAGCCAAAATGGCAAAAACGGAACCCTTATAGTTTCGTCATGTCCGTCTGTCCGTCTGTCCGTCTGTCCGTCTGTCCGTCTGTCCGTCTGTCCGTCTGTCCGTCTGTCCGTCTGTCCGTCTGTCACAGCCGATTTACTCGGAAACTATAAGTACTACAGTGATGAAATTTGATGGGAATATGTGTTGTATGAACCGCTACAAAATTATGACACTAAATAGTAAAAAAAAGAATTGGGGGTGGGGCCCCCCATACATGTAACTGAGGGATGAAAATTTTTTTTTCGATGTACATACCCGTGTGGGGTATCAATGGAAAGGTCTTTTAAAATGATATAAAGTTTTCTAAAAAACATTTTTCTTAAAGTGAACGGTTTTTGAGATATCAGCTCTCAAAGTCGTAAAAAGTATGTCCCCCCCCCTCTATTTTTATAACTACGGGGTATAAAATTCTAAAAAAAATAGAGGTGATGCATGCTAATTAACTCTTTCAACGATTTTTGGTTTGATCAAAGTATCTCTTATAGTTTTTGAGATAGGTTGATTTAACTGTAATTTTGGTTAAGTTATTGTGCTTACACTGAAAACGATGGCTGAACCTTATAAGATAGATCAAAAAATATACTACAGTATTGTACACCTTTTAAAATCCGCGATGATATAAAATCTTTATAATGTAGGTACTTTTTACGAGAAATATTAGCTTATTCAAGCAATACGCCATTAATCCTTATCCAGTAATGTACCTTAAATACATTGTGCATTTGATAAAGTTTAATATTACAAATGTGATTGTTGAGTAATAATAGGTTAAACATATCCATCGAACCAATATTTTTAAAACGCGTTAATCCTATAGATTATTATTACATCGATTCAAGAAGATCGGTCGCTCGCTGCGCTGCAGCGCGTGAGTTGCGGGGCGTGGTCTCGCGCGGGAGCGGGGATAAGATAGCTAACCGCGTCGACCCGAACGGGCAGACACGTGAGGGCAGACGTCGTTGTCACTTGTGCGCGCTAAGAGAATTTCATCGTTCCC